AAGAAGAATCACTTGCCATTTAAATGTGGAACAATAATATGGTGCTCACTCAGAATGATACATAAGCTTCAAGATCTGGCATATGCCGTCACTCGCAAAATGAACCAAAATTAAGATCTCACAATATCACTAAACTATATGTATAAACCATAAGAGTTTTGGATGGTACAATTTATGAAAGAAGAATCAATTGTCATTTAAATGTGGAACAATAATACGGTGGTCACTCAGAGGGACACATAGGCTTCAAGATCTGGCAAGTGCGGTCACTCACAAAATAAAAAAAAATTAAGATCTCACAATATCACTGAACCATATGTATAAACCATAAGAGTTTTGGATGGTACAATTTATGAAATAAGAATCATTTGTCATTTAAATGTGGAACAATAATACAATGGTCACTCAGAATGACACATAATATGCTTCAAGATCTGGCAAACTTGTGCCGTCACTTGCAAAATGAACCAAATTAAGATTTCACAACATCACTGAACCATAATTATGTATAGATGTAAAACAAGAGTTTTTGACTGTAAAAATTTCAAAAGGGAAATCATTTGTCATTTGAAATGTAGTAGAATATTAAATAATAAATTATAGTGACCACTGCTTTGTCAAGTGCTGTCACCTGAAAAGTACAGTAACCCCAAAGATCTAACATATTAACTCAGCTGTACAACAAGCCAAATTTCTGAATTATGGACATGCTAAGGTCACATCACCGACTTATATTGGTGTAAAAGAAATGTTTGCCTGCACAGCTCAAGATCCGGCTACTTAAGATTATTCTATTAATGAAGACGATGCGCAACAAAGAGTACAGTTATTTCTGCAGTAAACAAAAAGGAATCAATCAATGGCATATCTGTGCATGCATCTTAAATTTTAAGATTTATCTTTGAGGTTTTAAGCTTACGCAAAGTTATTAGAAAACCAAAGTAAGTAAACGAACCACGATATCAAGAAGAACATACCTTTCTGCAATCCAGCTGAGTTGATGACTTGGAAACAGGCTTTATGTGAAGAATATCGCAACTGATCACTGTCTCTCGAAAATAACAAAGGTATAAATCGTAATAGAACAGCTGAATAGAAAGACAGGCTTTCTATTATCCGAAAATAACAAAACTACTCGTTTTGCAACGCTGTATCGCTTGTGAAGTCCGCGTGAATTTGAACTGTTCAACGAAAGTTTATTTTACACTATTCTATTGGTTCAAAAGCCGCACGTGACAATGTGAATCAAATCGCGCATGTGCCAAAGTCACATGGAAGCCTGGGCAACAAACATGGCGGCTGCTCTTGCGACGGAGTGCATTCAGGACTACATTCACCCGGACGATGAAACTCTGCAATCTACTATTGAAATGACTCCTGGGTTCAAACCGTTCACATATTGTGCATTTTGTTCACCCAAATTGTAAATGGTAACGTTTTACGTCAGGGCCTCCTATTCCGAGACTTCTTGTGATATTTTTTTCCGTGCCACCGACACAATATCAGGAAACGCATTCGACGCTAAACGAAAAAAAAGGGGGGATGGCCTTACCCGAAATAACCAGCTGCAGCAAGTAATATTATAAACTTTGAGAAGAATGTGATGGTGATTGAAACGGAAAATGCAATGGAAAATCAAAACTTGCGTGAAATAACACTGTGAAGTTTGGTAAATGTGCAAACGTTGGTTAAAGTGGTCGTAAAGATAGTTCTTTGATCATATTTTGCTTAAATTTACGCCTCTAGTAACCATAAATTTACACAGTAACTTTGCTATGCCAGAAAATATCAAGCAAACATTCAGTTTTGACGTTCGATTTTTACACACAGAACAAAATGGTGGCAAACTTGAATCTAAACACCAAATTTACTATGGGGAGCAAAAGTGAAACAAAATATCTGTAAACTTGAAATTTACTCCACATTTACGCCACCCTTGCAGAAAAGTAAACTTTCACTTTCGAACAAAATTTGCACCAAGAACAAATAAGTAGCAACATTAGTACCCTAAATTTACAATAGATTTGCTCAACTAGCAAACTTAGGCAAATCCGTTTTTTCGTCCAGTGGTGATCTCACATTTTAATACCCTTTTACCACTTGTTGTAACAGCACAGTCAGTGAATGTTTATGGTCTCTGAAAAAGGTTTTTGGCTGCCTCAACACAAGTTTCCAACTGTTATTCAGTTTATTACAAATAAATATATTATCTTAATAATATGATTTTACATTTTTTTCCAAGGTATCCTATGGTGTTTTTCATATCCAGTTGGGAGGATTTGAGAGGATTTGATCTCATTAACTACATTTATATGTAGCACAAACACAAACGGTGTAAAAAATTACATGCAACTGTATGGCAAAAACTGATCACAGTGGCCAAAGGAAAGGCAAAAATAGAAACGTCACCATTTTCCTGACTTTATAAATTCCCTTTGAGGCAAATTTAGCCAGATGTGGTCCTTGTCAAACCATGCAAACTTGAACATTTATTTTCTGAACCTAGCTAATCCCAACTTTTATAAACCATAATCTTGTTCCAAGGGGTAGTGTAGTTTTTGGAATTTATAATTTTTCCCTCCTTGTTTGCAACAAAACACACTTGAATGAGAACTCAAACTGAAGGCAGTGTAGTAACTGCTGTCATGAAAAGAGAATTTCAAACACAAAAAATAATTACCCTTTCATTTGCCTAAGATTCATTTGTTAGAAACTACGGTAAAGTTTAAATTAAATCACACGAAGAACGAAACTTTAACATATCAACATTTGCAAATCAAGAGAGAATGATCTCTTGGCAAAATTTATTTACCTTCTAGTACATAAAGAAATACATGAACTACGAGATTTGACCATGCCACTCAATCATCCAACGCAACTCTGCCAGGATAACTTCACAATCAAGGATGTAAAATTAAGAATCTCAATCATCATTTCTTCTCGTCTTAAAAGGTGTAGTAAAACCGTAAACAACTCTGACAACTCTTCTACTCGACCACAGCCACCGCAATTTTTTTAATACTGCGAAGAATTAATTTTGGGCCTTTCACTTGAAAATATAAACTCTTCTACATACGTGTTAGAGGGCTGGCCTTTCGTTTAGTCTTGTGGGTCTTCTAAACAGAAACACATAGTCAAAAGGTCGGACATCGAGGAACATGTTCTCTGGTTTCGTTCTTCGTTCTTAGCGTAGTAAACCGCATGTAATAACAAACGCAACACCAGAAGAAAGGAAAACGTAAGCTCCACATTACTGCGGAAAAAATTGGTTACGGCAAAGTCGAAAGAAAGCAATGACCAACAGGACTAAAATTACAAACGCGAATTCACTTCACACAGTGGAATCGCTGCGAAGATGAGCTTCTTGTTGTTTTTTCCAGCCCGTTTCGCGCACGCTCGCTACAGCTCTCGAGTGATTGACAGATTTCTTCACTGGGGCGATCATGGAAAGCCGAAAAGCGGCAAGATCAAAGGCCGTTGCCAGCCCCCCCTGATGCGGACAGATAAGAGATACTTATGATATAATTATAAGCAGTAAAAGCAACATCACTGATGTGGCTTGCAGGGATTATAAAAATAATTCCCATGGAACCATCATCACCGACTAGTGATGAATGAAAATTCAGTAAAGAAATTCCTAATATCAGCAGCCATATAGGGATATCCCAACACAACCGACAGTTTCGTTTGGTACGTGCAATCTCTGGCAGTGTACTATAAATCACTTGGTGCATGGAAGGAACGTCCAACACAGTTACAACTCAAAGAAATGTAGACAATCCAAGAAATTATTGTTAAATACTATGTTCAGTTAAGAGTTCTCCCATCGTTCAGAGTTTTTGGCGTGCAATAACATCTTGACAAGTCACTTTAGTGCACATTGTTTCCCGTTTTCATGTTTGTATATCTTTGACTGTAACCCGTTATTACTGTCATTTGCCTGACCAGATACTCGAACCATAAAGTCTTCTTTCAGAGACCCAAACAAGAGACTCAGTACAGAACTCAGTAAGCACATCTGGGACTTGAAAGACGTTAAGATTGGATTTACCTTAACTTGGAAGATCTTAAAGCAAGCCGCGCCGTTTAATCCCGCTTCAAATCGCTGTAATTTGTGCCTGTGGGAGAAATATTTCATCGCCTGCAGAGCCGATCTGGCGAGCTTGAACAGGCGAAATGAACTTGTAACTTTCTGCAGGCAAGCGCGTTAATTCCTTCTTAGCAGCTTTACATCTTCCATTGGCACCCAATAGTTTTTTAATTCAAATTTTGCGTGCGCGTTTGTAGTCTTAGCGTATGTTATAACAAACTTTTTGTTGGCAATTTTATCTGAGGAGTGCCGTACATGCCTTGCAGTACGAAACTAAGTAGTAATAAAAATGCCAAGTCAATCTCACGTTGACACCAGACATCCTTGATTACACTTACTCTACGCTATAGTCCTTCTATTAAGCACTCTGCCGATAGGCATGCATGTGCATCAACTGGTATATTTAACAATTATTCCTCGAGCGCGAATGAGCTCTGAGTCAATAGCCCATGAGGCCGAAGCTCGAATGGGCTATTGACTCAGTGGCCATGAGGGCGAGAGGAATAATTGTTTTAGTAAAAACCAACTAGTTGGTCAAAAAAAATCGGGAATAAAAAAATTTTAGCTGCTTAAGGCTAGACTTTAATCCTTTTTTGCCGCCAAAACCCGGCGCTTGTCGCTACTAGTGGGCTATAACATATAGCCTAGTAGTAGCTCAACTAATCAAAACGCAGCATTGATAATAGACCACTAGTTGGATTTTACTAAATATATATATATATATATATATATATATGTATATATATGTGTGTGTGTGCGTGTGTGTGTGTGCGTGTATGTGTGTGTGTGTAGTGCGATTATGCTGTAATTATAACATGTCCTCGTTCTTAGCGCCGACACGATAAGTTTGAAAAACGGCGACTAAGACAGCCACATTACAAGACCAGGTACGACTTTTTTTGCAGTCTCATTATCTAGTACCTGCAGTCGTTTCCAGCTGACGTTTTGTCCAAAAACTATGGCCCAACGCGTTTTTTGCCCTGATTTGTATTTCGTAAAGACTGTTACTTTGGACATCAAGTATCTTGGAATGATTTTTCTGTGGCAGGTCGAATCTTTGTTCGGAATCATCTGCTAGTGATAATATGACGAGTTCATATCCAGTCACTTCACTTCCTTTCATCTCTTTCCACTCCACTCTCATCGTACGACCGCAGTCAAAGGTGTCATTTTTTACAATTTCAGGGCGTGGTGGAATGTTAGAGCTTACTGAAAATAAAGCATTTTAAAGGAGCTCAATATTAGACTTAAAACAATTTTAATGAAACGAACACATTAACATCAGCAAACAGGTAGGCTTGGGCCGCAAGGAGAATGGATCAGATGAGTCTGGATGAAAAATGCGTCGGAAACGGGTGTTTAATGGGCTATCTGTAGTTTTGCATTGCGTGCCAAGTCTCGACCTCTTCTTCCCATGTCCAGAGTCAATTCAATTAACTCTCAGCAGCGTATAGGAGTTTATCAGTGCAGCTTTCGCTCTTAGATTCCAAAACAACAGCTACACTTTGTAACATTTTTTCTGGACTGAGCCCAGGCCGGGCCTTTTGGGCTTCCTCCAAGGAGGGAGGAGGCAAGATTGGAAGCCAGCAGCTTGAAACTATAACACTGCTTATCATTCATTGACCACCAAATTTGTACAGCAATAAAAATTTATAAACGTAAACAATTATTATAAAATAATGTCGCAATGGTGCATTTAAGGTCACAATGACGCCATTTATATTACTGCCAAATGAACAGTTACAGGATGATTTACGAATCAATCCTAAAAAGAAGGTGTAATCGGATTATCGTAATTTAGTCATCTTTAACAATTTATTGGTTAAAAACCGAAATCATCAAAGTTTCCATAAATTTTAAAAACAACGCCGACAAAACTTCCACTGAAATGTGTTTGTGTTCTATCAACAAGCCAACACGCTCTTTTAAAAGTGTGTTGGCTTGTTTTGTTGTATTAAAATACAACAAAACTAAATGACAAACAAAGGTGTTGACCACTTCATCAACACTCACAAACATACAAAAAATGTAGTCACCTCCTTGATGGTCATGCCCTGAAAGGGGTTACATCATCGAAGTTGGTGGAAGCATCCTTTAAGGCTATCGATATTGAAAGTTATTTAACCTTTATACAGTCTCATAAGTAGGTGGAACTGGGCGAGTACTGTGTAGTCCTGAACAGGACTGTTGTTGGCAGAGATTGACGGTTTCGATAACCTATGTTGAAGTCATCTTCAGAGTCCAAAAACGTTGTATCATGTCAGCTGATGGCATCAAACTCTGCTTTTGGCTTGATTGGATAATCAAGTCGCGGTTTTGTTGTTGATCGTCTGTCAGTTTAGCCCAAAATAATTTTCATGAAGACTCGTAATTTTATTAGTGCTTTTCGATTGTCTTTTGTCGGAGTTATGAGGTCCTTTTTATTCATAGTCAAATATAGTCGGTGGTCCAGTCAGAATTCCAGTCGGTTCGATGGTTTGTCTGGAATGTGAGTTTTTCAATTAACATTTCTTGCCGCACGTTTGTGTTCAGTCAGTCATGCGCTAAGGTTTCTGTGGGTCCAACCAATGTAAGTGGCCTGGGGTGTCTGGTGGTGGTAGTGGTGGCGGTAGTAGTATAGTAATACCTGATGGGGTGTCTGTCTTGGAGGTATTGTAACTCTAATTATCAGGAAATTGTAATTTTCATCAAACCTTACAAGTTAGATACAGTTCAGAACACGCAACTTACCATATTCATACAATGGGACGTCCTCTGAAGCAATTTCCGTACCAGACTCAAGAAGTGCACACATGTATGTTCCAAGATCTTCCCTGGTTAAATTTTCAACGTGAAGATAAACGGCACCTTTCGTTTGTTGACAAGAATTGGGCTGTGAAAACGTGCTGAGTATTTTATACTTCCCATATACATTTGTTACTTCTCGCCCGTTTTTAGACGTCCATTTCCACTTGTATGAAGCCATTTGTCGAGCGTTTAGCTGGTTGGCCTCGCAACTCAAATTTGCATTGCCGTTTTGTGCCCTATTTAGGGGAAGGGCATTTAGCTGAGGTACTGTTGGTGGACCTGTTGTGGAAATTGGATAAACTGGTTTAATTCTAGAAAAAAAACCAACTGCGGTTCTGCCAAAAGGCAACAATAAATGGTTGAAATGAAGATTGGTCAGCGCAAAATAAGATATATACGAAAGATACTGCCTCAAACGCTAGCCCTTTATGAAAAGGGAATCGATCCTAACTTAAGCGGTCCAGAAAAATTCGGACATGACCTAATTAACACCTTAATCTTTTGCTAAATCTCCAGATAGCGGAATTTGTTACATGTAAGAGAGCCCCCCAATTTTGGGTTTGTCGTTTACAATAGAAGTGAATAATATTTATGACTCTATCACTTTGCAAATTAAAGACACCCAGGGGTGTCAAGGACTGATACGGGTGCGGAAACAACCTTGTTTTATTAACAAATAAATAAATGCTTACATGAAACAGTGACGAGGATAGTGCTTTTTTTGGTTATTGTGTTATCGTTGCTTGCTTCACAAGTGTAATTCCCGGCGTGATGTAAATCTACCTCAGGAAAATCAAGAGCGAGGTCTACTAGGTTTTTGCCTTGTTGACTTTTTCTCTCCTTGAGAATCTTGTTGTTCTTAAGCCACCTGACTGTTGGTGGGGGCAGTCCTTCAACGAAGCAGTAAACACTTCTGTTTTCACCAGCAAAAAGAGAAAGAATACCCTCTGGCATTTTAATTTCCAGTATTTTTTCTAGAATAAAATACATTAATTGCAATGTCAACTATTCCGGTCTCAGACGAGTTTTAACGCAAATATTTTTAACAATACTTATTACTATTTAAATAATTCTTTATCTTCCATTTTACTCAAGGACGGTGAGACGGAGGGTGGGGGTTGCTACTTCTTATCCATGCTCTTGGCCTTATTCAGACCTTCAGCCCGGGGAGCTGGGGCTTTTGAGGTCCCTCTCGCTTCTCACTAAAAGTTGACGTGTATGTCAGCATTACTGACATTACCATGGTAATTTAGTTTTGACAACTATTCTCCTTAAATCATTTAAAGAATATTCACTACGTCTATTTTCAAGTGAATTCATATCTATATGAGATCTTAAGGAGTGACTTAATCAGAACTTTTCCCATGTTCGTTATCGCTAGTAATCCGAAATGATAGATAAACAATAACCGTAAATTCAAAATGCATGAGCGCAAAGCTCTCTATATTCCTTTCATTTCAAGAAATGGGATCAAGCTCTTAACAAAGGGACATCATTTCAAACTGCTATAACCATTAGTAACACCATCACATAACATCATCATTTTTACAATAACCGAATTATATCTCGTATGCTGATTGGCTAATTTTTATTATCAATAAGAGGACAGACACAAATAAATTTAACTTATGCAAGACGTGGTCATTTGCAGAAGGAATGCCCAAATTCTTTGTTTTTGCTTGGTTTAGTTTCGTAGAAGATTCAGTTTCTGTCCTCTGAGAAAAATAGCCAGCTAACTCTGATGTCAGACTTGCGTTCTGTTCTACAAAAAGCTTAAGCAGAGCAAACTGAACAAGACACTTAAGAAGAAAATTGTACACTTTCAAAACAGCGATTTAGTTTTTAATTTTCGCACATAGCTTTTAAGTTAAAAACGTGAGAAACCAATTCTGAAAGTCTAGTTTATTAAAAATAAACACATTTATTTTACAGTAGTTTTCTTTTGACAAGTACTGAGTGTTTTTCTCATCCTTTTTTTTTCGAAAGCAAAACAAACTTTTCGTACAAACTTTGTGAAATTTTGTTAGTACCTGGTAAGTTAAATTGCAACTTCATGCCTATAAAACCCACCTTTCGGTTTGATTGTACACAGCTCATAAACCTGAATAGCGTTTAGGACGACAAACAAGATAATAACTGAAGTAAACAACGAGCCGCACACGATTTCTGTTCGTACTGATCGGTTAGCAACTCTTCAAAAGTGCCAAGCTAGTTTGATGTACAGACAGCTCAACTGGATATTGCTTCGACTTTTTCGGTTACTTTAACGGCTCGAAAATCTTTCCTTGGAATAATATTTAACCTTGGGCTACTTAACGACTTTATATAGCCCTAAAATGCCTCCGTTTTTCAAGATGATACACATCGCTGATCTCATTCTTGTTTAAAGTTTGCAAAACAATAGTACAGTTGTGACGTCAAGGGGCTATCTTTTTTTTGGGAAAATGGCGCACCGATTGCCAAAACGACCAGAGTTCACTGTTTTGAGGCTCTCAGGCAAAATTACGAAGACTTCTAATGAGGCATACACATCGTATTTAAGAGTGCTGTGTATCGGAAGCCATGTTACAAGTGCCTCTTGAAATACCAGTACATTTTATCGCTTGTTTCTTCTTTTAAAGAACGCTATGTGGGCAAGATTTTGGCCGTTTTTCAAGGAAGGTGATCAATTATCTATTTTGTTTTGTATTCACAGTTCTAAATTGTCATATCGAATTGAATTGAATGTGGGGATGGTAGACATCCTAGAATTTTGGTAGACATTCCTTGAATTCCGAGGTCCAAAACACTTGTTCCACTTCCGAGTTTCACGTAGACATGGTAGAGCCAGTGTTATTATATTTTTTCGCATTAATAACAGCCTTTTGCCTTTTATATTTGCAAGGCACTAGCCTTACGGATGTTCACGTCCAACATCTTGCCTCACTTTGCCAAATTTGCGGGGATTCAAGTAAAGATCATTTAAACGCAAGGTAGAAACTAACCACTTTGTTTCTGAAATTCAACAAATGTGGAAAGATTCAGTACTGTTGGATTCTCCATACGTTCATTCGCAGTTAAAAAAAAAGGAAAGAAATCAGGCAAATTTCAACTGTAATGATGTATTTTACTACGCATCGAACACTGATAATCTGAGGGGTATTTTAACCTTGCAGGTACGACAGCAAGCAAAGAAAGCACGAGATGCGTAACGTTCATGTGTGCTGTCAATACGAAAAAAGAAAAATTAATAAATTTGTAGCCTGCGAAAACATCCGTTTCTCCTGGCTCTTCGCCGCTGGGAACGTTTCGCGAGGAGGAACGTCTGCGACTCATCGACAGAAATTCCATACTGATGACGCAAACCAATGTTTACACAATAAAGCCAGTAGTCATGGGGTTCCAAATACAAATTTGTCCAATTTTACGTGTCTTCTGGTCGATTGTGATAACGTGTTGTGTTCATCTGCCAACGAGCTCCAGCAAAACTCAAATGCGTCTTCAAGAGAAGCCTATATTCCACAAATATTGACTGTTTTGTTAGAGATTTTTCGCGTTTAAATTTGACCTTTGTGGCCTTTTGTCTTTTGTCTCTCATTCGTAAACAATATCTAAAACAATGTAACTACTCCGACGACCAATCAGCACTTCTGACCGGATTCCGGACAGATTTTACGTCATCAGTATGAAATTTCTGTCGCTGAGTCGCAGACGTTCCTCCGCGCGAAACGTCCCCATCGGCGAAGAGCGAGGAGAAACGGATGTTTTCGCAGGCTAATAAATTTGAACTACTTTTTATTCTTGTTATGATGACTGGTTTTGATTATTGTCCTTTAGAAGTTAATGGGTTGTACCATTCCTATTTAGTGCGATACACTATCTAAGGCTATGTTTACACGGGACCAGTTTGCTTCCATCAAAAAATGTGGCAAGCCATGCCAGAGAAGCCACGACCTCTGCGATCAGTCCGAAATATTCGAACACCCCGACGATTCTTTGCAATGAATGATACTCGTATTCACTTAAATCAAATGTTTCCCTTAAAATAGTGTGAAACCTAGACGAGTACTGTAAGCTTCTGTTAAATAACAAAAAAATAACAATCGAAATAACAATGCTCTGTCCGCCTCCATCCGCAATTTTGAAAAGTTTTTGATCAGTCATGCTTTGATATCCGATCCCTAAACACAAGCGCGCCTTCTCATTGGTCGAGCAAAGTCGCGTGACCAGTTGGCCCTGTCCTTAAATATATACAGGGCAGAGGCGTGACTCAACATGTCAAATTTTTAGCCAATGAAACTCCGTTAATTATCACCAGTAGCCAATCACCAAGCGAGAAAAGTCATTGACAATAACATTGTGCTAGCTTAAAAACGTCATAAATAATCTTGTGTTTTCTTCATTTTTACTCGCAATATTTGACTTTTTCGAGCTTTTTGTTATTGTAAAAAACAAATTGAGGGCAGTTTTTATTTATGATAAAATGACGTCGTAACATTGTCAAAGTGTTGTGGCTCGTGGATCCACAACAAACTTTGACAATGTTTTGACATCATTTCATCATCAGTAACAGGACAGACGATAAAAACTGGCGTCAATTTGTTAAATCGAATTACGACACCATTAAAAAAAAGATAGCACCTCGTTAGGCTACTTTATCTCTTTACCTGTATTTTCATACTTGCTGTGATTCTATGGGAATTTGTAAAACGGGTTAACTGAGAGAAAATTTGTGTTGGAGTGGGTGTGGGGTAGGGGTGTGTGAGTGTAGCTGTGTGTAGCTGTGTGTATTCTTGCTAAGCAGGCACTTGTGCTGACTATTGATAAGTATAGTTGCCTTTAAAGTTGTCTGTAATTTTTGCATGATAACAACTCTAAAAGTTTTAATAAAATACACAAAGCTATCGTAAAGGACCAATAAAGAGCTTGCTGGAACAAATCGCTTTTGCTAAATCCTTTTTGCTAAATCTAGCAATAATCTGTTAAAATCCTCAAAAAAAAAAAAGAAAAGAAAAGGAAAGAAATGATAAGTAATCTGATAAGTAAATAATTAAATCTGTTACGGCTTTTGAAGTTATTTCCATGTGGCAAAATCAAATTGGAAATTTTTGTAATGCTCGGATGGTTATCGAAGTCCTCTTGAGTTAAATCTATGGCCGAATCCACTATTCTCCGGTTCACAAAGAAGTCGTTGAGCGCAGTACTGGGATTAGAAATAAGTTTCTAGGAAATAGTGTTGTTGAGGCTGCATCGATACAGAAATCTTTCACTGCTTTTCTCGGATTTTTGGTGATGTACATGTAACTTATATATTCTTCAATAGACGAGACGTCATCATAACATCGCTACCATTGTTAAAATTTATTTGTGTTAGCCAACTTCTTTATTTTGTCAGGTATCTTATTATTTATTTATTTATTGACTTATTCGCTTTGAGAGGGAAAATTGATGGAATTTGTATTCCACCAATAAATTCAACAAAATGACGTAATGATGACGTCAAATTACAGCACTGTGTCAATCAACGCTTATGTGTTTGAAATGGTAGGTAAATTATTCTGTGTAATTTTTGTAGTTATAGAGGGAGGGGCTCCTTGAGCCTAACCCGGTCGCAGAAAGCTAAAAAAGGTCCGGTCTGAAGAGAGTTAAAATAATTACGAGTGCAGAGTCAGCGATGAATTTTTGTTGTCTCCAATGTTGCTAGATAATAAGATTTCTTTATTTGCTTTGGTTAAGGCTTTACCTGTATGATATGAGACATGAAACCCTTCAAACTCTTTGTCGCCGTCTGTGTTGAAGGTAATCCTTATTGGTCCATCAGCTTCTATGTTAGGGGGAAGTACATCACCACAAACTCTGGTTACTTCCGGAGAACTTGGCGAATTTCCTTCTTGCACTGATAGCCAGTCGAATGAACACCCTTCGTTCTTTTCTAACATAAATTTGTGAAAAGTCAGAGTAATATGATACCCGTGGCTAAGATCAATGAGCCATACGCACGCTAATCTTGTTGGGTAGTTATCGGGATGGTTTGGAGACATAATGGTTCCCCACAAAGTCGTCAGCCTTACATCACAGATACCTTAGTGAAACAAACAATGAAATAGTTTATATTGATAATTTTTACCGTAGGCTATTAGTGTAGTTTATCTTTTTTGTTAACTAGCATCCATAACTAATCAAATTAATGTTAAAAAAGAAACATCACCAACTCAGTTTTTAAAAGGGGTATCGTATAATATCTGAGGCAAAACATTTAGTCAGTCATCTCAAAAACTAATGACAGACCAGCAAGCAATTATAGGCAAGCTTGAAAAGATAAGTATCGAGATTCAGCCCCATTCGATCTATAACTCGGATAACTTACAAAAATAACACACAAGGGTTCCTTATAATGCCATGCTTGGTATATTGTCAGATATACATAGGAAGAGATGGTCAGATCAATGCAATCTGAGAAGGTGCACAACAGAAACAACTCAACGCTCCTTTTTTAGTTACCACTCCTAAATATTTTAAGAGAACTCAAAGCAAACGCGAAGCTTAGTTGAAACGAGAATGTCTTCACCTCTTAACCTCCAGAAATTTTTAGCAACCATTTGAGGCTTGTTCAGTACTTGACCATTCTTTTATTTTTTTTAATGACCTTTTCAGTACAAAAATTTCGTTAAAAGCTGCAGTAGATCAAAAAACATGTGTTTTTTTATGCCGTTTACATCTTCCCCAACGCTCCCCCCGCGCAGCTCTTCCCTACCTATCATTTCCCATAATTCTCTCCTTGTCATAAAACACTATGACATTTGAAATCAGCGCGCGCAGTGGAAGTTTTCCGTGGTCGGTTAATTTTGGCCGCCTGCAGCAAAGTTTTCCTGAAGGCATCATTAAGCCTTATGAAGGAACAAGTCTCACTATTGGCAAAGTCTGCCGTCGTCCAATATGTTAGCGTATTTCGTCTCATTTTGGCTAAACGGGTGAAATACTGATCTCGGGCTTGAGACCGAAAGGCATTATATTGCCAGCTTTGATGTGGTCGGTGACAAGTCTCTGGCCTCAAAAAGTAGCTTTTTTAATTGTCTAATTTCCTGAAGTTGTTGACAGACAAATTTTGGGTATGTCGTGGCGCTCGTGCTATAAAAATATTGTGTACAAGCATGAAAACTCTTTGTAAGTGTTTAGTTGAAGTGATTTTGTCTTAGATAACCGATTGTGGGGTCAAGAGAGGTGAACTCTAGGACTGTTTTAGTCGGGCATCTCGCTAAGAGCGTCATGATCATAGTTTAAGAGACTGATAGGTCATTATTTCTGTGCTTTTAAATGTTGTTCATTTCGTTACAAATCTTTTGCCAAGAGCAACTTTTCGTGTGTTGCCAGCAATTAATTCGTCCGGTTTAAGTCCTAACTAGCGACTTTCAACCGCTTTTTATTGACCTCAAGGGTCAAATTATTAAAACGCACTTGAAATTTCTAAAGGTACCTTTTTTCAAATCCAAACAGATATATATATATATATATATATATATTATAAGAACTATGATGCTTGTCTACGAATCGTCACTATTATTGTCACGTCATCATTAAGAATTAAATACAACGTTGCCAGGTTTTCTATGAGAGAATATAGATTATATTCCGAACAATCATAGAATGCCAGAAACCACAGGCAAGTAGTCTTGTTTTCTGGTCAAGACCTTGCTAGAGGGCTTTCTATAATTTGCTATTTCAGCAAACAGAATTAAGCACCCCCTTTGAACATTCAGGAGTATTTGGATTCGGTATATTAGCCGGGTTCCGACGTTCCAGGTTTCGATTCACGTAGTTTTATACCTTTATGCTTTGCTAAAAAGCCTCTATTTTCCTTGTCACCATCTGTGTGCATATGCACAAGTAACATATTACTGCTAGAAATAAACGTTTTCTCGTCAACGTCTTGCAAACTGAAGCCACACAAGCGCGTTTTTACGTCAGTGCTTCCATACGAACCATCCAAGATCTCAATATAATCATTCGGACAGTTTGCATCCTTTTCCGCCTGTTTAAAATTAAGATAAGGACGTCAATTAGTAATCTATTACTGAGTCATTTCTTAAGTAATCTGAATCCAGTGCTGTGCATACTGACAATATATTTGGTGCTAAAGAACCCTACTGTACTGTCCCAGGTCTTGGGTGAGTAATCTATACGGTAAGATAACCAATTGCAGTAATTGCAACCTCTTGCTCTCTCTCTTGTAAACATAGAGTCCGTCAAAATATCTTCTAACTGATATCATGCAGCTCTGACCGGACTACCGAAGAGAAACGAAAAGTGGAGTTGGTTCTTACACTCTGAAAGAATTTTTTAAAGCTATGATGGAGTAAGGTTTTTACAATCATAAGACAATATCTTCAACTTAAAACTAGCGAGTCTAGCTTCTTTCGTCCCAGCTCTTCCATAATTAAAGACGAGATCTACTTTTCCTTTCTCACTTCTGAATTTCGATGCAAATACCGTCCCAGTATTTCTAGTATACACTGTATACATCTAGAGAACAATTAAATTTCTCCTAGTCTTCCTATTAGGATATATCCCTGCCTATACTTTGTCTAGTACACGTTCAAAGATATATTCCACAGTTATGGGAGTAACCGGGGAGACATAATCCATACCGTACGATCTGGATACGCCGTCATCTAAAAAAAAAGAGGAGAAGAGAAAATGTGTATATATTGTTTGAAACCATACCCAAAGGAGCGTCGCTTTACTGAAATTAAAATGGGCCGTAATCGTCTGTCGGGATACTTTATTCATAACCTATCCTTAACTGTTGCTGTGGTCAACTCAGAAAGTGAAGAGGCAAATCTACAAGAAAAGTGTGCGTGTTTTTTTTCAAAATCTGTGACGTCATCATTTTCAAATCGAACGATGATTGGTCCATTTTTGTCACGTGACCTAAATACTCAACGCTGATTGGCTACTGGGGCAAGTGGCCTCCATTACTACTCAGTTGGTGTCTAAAATAGCTTAAAATGAAGTCAATCTCATTTACGTAGAGACAAGTTGACAAAACGCTGGTTTCGTCCGGATTCATTTTCACATATCCTTTCACGGGCACAATGAAAAAGTACAATGAAAGAGCAATAAGATGCTGAAGTTTTATTAGCTTAAAATTAATCGAGACATTCCCTTCTTTTTATTCTTACCGATAAATCTTGAAAGTCTATTTCAACGAGATTCCCTTCAGCCACTTGAATCAGCCAGTAGCAGTCCATATTTGGTGAGTAGGGGGATGGGTAATTAGGAGACTGAAGTGTGCCACTCCATATTGTAATATTTTGCTGCACACATGGCTCTGCATCTGCAATTAAACAGTTTAGTATACACTTAAACAGTGGAAAGTGTTTTTCGCTCGCTCTGATTGGCTACTCAAACTCGGGATATCAAGTGCTATTCACCTCCGCGAGCGACGCCAAACTCGCGAAAGTTTTCGAAACTGAGCTTTTCCCGATATTCGGTTTGCCAGTTTTTGTATACAAGCAAGTTTCTGTCTGTCTGAATTTATCGAGGAAAAATTTAATTTTTTGTTTTTGAAATTAATGCAAATAGAGTTAAGAAGAACCCTAATGGAGCAAAGATTACAGAGAATCCTCTTTTTGATTTAAAAACTCGTAAACAATGAAAGGAACCGTTTACATCTTTTACAGAGGATAGGAAAAGCGCCCAAGATTTGGAATAACTTGCCTAATGTCCTGAGAGCATAATCCGACCTTAAAATGTTTAGAGAACTATCAGAAAATGAGTCATTAGTTTAGTATCTATACCAATTGTCTTTCACTCGACTTTGTCAATAATTTTTGATAGTATTTTTTGTGTAATAACTCAATCCTATTGCAAATAGCTTTTATTATATTGTCTTATTAATTAATATTTAATCTCTTATTCTGTTTATTTGAGGTGGCATACCTGTAAATTAGCTGGTAAACTCTCTTTAATGGCGCCTATCTCCCTTATGATAATTAATTTTCCTTTGCATAGATTACCCTTCGTTTCTTTTTACAACGAATGCTGCTTCTGTCCAGCGTTTTGCTTTGTTCATTGTTTATCTTCGTTTTTCTATGTATAAACGTAATCATAATTTTTGAAACTTTCATACCATTTTTTCTTCCCTTTGCATGTATATATATATATATATATATATATATATATATATATATATATATATATATATATATATATATATATATATATATAGATTTGCAGAGTTGGATTATTTGGTCGAAGACATTTATTGCTACTCAGAGTTTCATGCTCCTTGCGGAGCAATCATCAGGCAACTGCTAAAAATAACGGATACATATGAAGATATACAAAATTTGAAAATACAGAACAATGCGTAGTGGCGTGACATGCAGAAATATGATTGGTTGCTAAGCGAATACGTTCTTCTAGAGGAATTTCTTAGAATGTCTACAATTAGATATCAGTTCGCTTCTGTTGTTCAGGGTTGACATTTCGGGTTTACAGATAATAAAATATTTTTCCCATAAACACAAGTTACATCTCTTGCTTATACTAGAATATGATCGGGCCTGTTTTACCTTTGTGTAATAGAGAATTATCAGTAAAATAAAATAAAATATATATTTCTTAAGAAAAAAATGAGGCGCCGGCTTGGCAAATCTTACGCCTTTTTACTGAGTGGTCTCCAACTTTCCGCGTGCTCAATAAACGCACGCTGACGCGTGGAGCAACTGCTAATTTTCCATAGAGATTGGGACTTTTTTAAGAACTTATTTTAGCCTATAACTAAACGTTTCTACCTACCTGATAACATGACCAAAACGTAAAAATAAATCAAAAGCCATTCCATCTAAAGACAACAAAAGAGAAAGAAAAACATACATCACTAAGTTTCAAGGGAGAGTTTTAAATTTAAGAGCTTACCTTCCATTTCCCTGTTGTTTCATATCTAATACCAGCTGGTATAACAAAAACTTTCTTAAGTCATGCATGAGGTACAGAAAACGAAATACAGAGTTGCTTTCAAATTGCTTTTTAATGTTGACTGAAAACTTTGCACAGCACTGTTAACAGACACAACTTTTTAAATTTTTCTAGTATTTTTCTTCCAAGTCAGCACTGAATTTTCTATAAATTTTCCCTTTTTAATGTTTCTAATTTTTTTTGTTATTTGTAGAGTGAGAACGCAACTCTGCATCAACCAATATTTACGTACACTGTCATTTCTCACCTTAATATCACTTCTTTCGCCTAAGGAGGTGTTCCAGCGACAGTGTACATGTACATAGACCAACAGTTCTTACAGTAAAAGTTTCGAAGCGTTTTTCTCGGAACTTTGAGTGTTGCGAGCGGCCCGAATGAAAGTGAAACATGTACTACCTTATTGTGGTATCCGATTTCGCTAAGCACCTGCGAGGCGGCGCAAGTTTGTTTTCATTATGGGGCGTACGCAAAGGTGTTTTTCAACGACGGACTGCTGCCGAAAGTCGACTGTTTGCATTTTCGGTCAGTGGTTTTGCCCAAATTCTTGTACAAATCATCTTTTTATTAGAAAAGACACCTAATAGGGGCGTCAGTTTAAAGGCAATTTAAGAGCGTCATTGAGAAAAGGCGAGATCAAATCATCATCATCTTTTTTATATTTATCATTATCATTTTAATGGCTTAACCAATGGGCAGATAAAGAAATAATAAAAAAAAAACTAACTTCAGTATTTACATATATAAATACTGTCAAAAAAATTATAAAGTAAAAAAACGCTGCAATAATGAAGCGGAGGATTGCCACATCCAGGGTGGCCAGCGGGGACAAAAACAAGTTTAAAGTAAACAGGTACTTTATTTTATAATCATTTAGCAATTTGCCAAGGGAACGTAATTTACAATAATTATACTCTAGGTCTCCTGCTTGGAAAATTACCTAGCTCCAGGTTCAAAAACAGCCCACCGCACAAAAGAAACACCTTTAACATCGAATGACCTAAAAATTTGAATATAAGGCAGACGGACTAAACATAAACAAAGAGGTGCTTTGGAGACAATTTGGACAAACCAACTTGAAATTAAGGCTAGGGTAGGTGTCGTGCTGAATTAATACGTAAGGGTTATCGGCCTGAAGCGAGGGGTTATGTGATTTATTCCCCTCGTTAACGCACGAGGGGAATAGATCACATAACCACGGGCTGAAGGCCGATAAACGGCTTATTTTTACATTGGCGAGGATTCCTCAAGGGATGCAAAAATACATTGACAAAAAATGCTGCTATTGTTCATCTTTCTTTTGTTTTTTAACATTCCATGCTGGCACTGGTGGCATTCACAAGTTTCTCGGCTTTTTAATTATGTTAGTTTTTCAAAGTTGCATTTCAAATTAGTTGTTCACAGTGAATGCTAGAAACAGCCTAAAGAGCCTAGTAGTGTCGAGCGATTGAGAGCCAGAAGTAGAGCCGTTTATTACTCAAATAACTAAAGCAGCTTCAGTGGCGGTACTGCAAGAGCTTTAGGAAAACAATTTGAATATTCATTTGCAGAAATGAATTCAGGTGCAGAAAACGAGCAAGCAGTTGACAATTTCAATTTTCGCACCGAATTTTTCGACCGACCTGCATGTTTACATGCAAAGAAGATTCGGTTTCGTGGAACCGTAGAATTTTAGAGACGCTGTTAATTTTCGAACTGTCGTTGTGGCTGTGGAAATCGATGAACGAACATCTAAGAAAATCCGTGAATGTGGCGCAAACGAAACGCAGTTCAGTTTAATTTTAGTAATAAAAGCGTCGTCTTTAATATTTCCAATGAACATTTGTGAATTTTTTCTTTACGAAAAGCTAATTAAAATGCGAGGGGATTATGCATTAATATGCAAGGGGGATAAGTGACTTATCCCCCTTGCATATTAATACATAATCCCCTCGCATTTTAATTAGCTGGTCATTAGCAACGCTCTTCCCTTCAAACAATCAAAGCCGCGCCCAGCTTTTCAGAAAGTTGATTCGGGGGTTATGTGGGTCCGTGCACACTTAGGCCAATCTAATTTTCCATTTTCCCAACAAAAACGGAAAAAGGAGATATTACTTATCCTTATCATATTTACATATTTTAAAGTACAGACAAAAATAGAAAAAGAGAAAATGGTCAGGAAAATTGATCATTTTTTCATTTTTCTAATTTTGAAGTCCGCTTCAAAAATGCAAAAAATACTGTAAACGTCTAAAAGCGATATTTTGCTATTTTTTATTTTCTTGCTATTGTTAGAAAATGAGAAAAATGAAATAATCTCCGAATCCTAATTCATTTTCCTATTTTTCCGTTTTTCGCAAAAAATAGAAAAACGGAAAAATGAAAAAATCATATTTATTCGCACCATTTTTTAATTTTTCCATTTTGTTCAAAAAATGAAAAAATAGAAAAATAGCATACCTATCGCCTAATTTTCCATAATTCCATTTTAACAAGAAAATTGAAAATATGATAAGTGTTGCGAGCAATTCTCTATTTTTCCTTTTTTTTTGGATAAATAGAAAAACTTTAACGATACACCCTTTCAGACAGTTTTTCATTTTTCATTTTATTGAAAAAAATGGCGCTGAAAAGTGAGAAGTTATGAATATTTTAACAGTGAAGAGATGAAAAACCTAATTCGTATCCACTATCGACTCACTAATTTGGTTAGAAGATTTACAACGGGTAGGCGGAGATGTGAGGGGGTTTTGGGGGGGGGGACGGCTTAGTTTTCGAGATGCAGACGTAGTTCCATTCAGTTTTGATGTCGATTTCCCTGAAGGTTTGAGTTGTCGGGAGTCGACTGTGGATGAAAACGGCGGGAAAACCGTACCGTACCGGTCCTGGAAAAGAAAAATATTAGAAAGGGTACGAGGGAGGAGGAGGAGGCGTGAAAATTGGTACGGGAAAAGCGGTGGGGGGTAACTCAACAGTTTGCTGCTTAGCCTGCCGAAATAACGGATCTTGCCGCAGAACGGGTGTTTTAGGATTGCAAGAGTAAAGTATATTGAATTGTTATTATGGAGGAGAAACATAACGAGGCGCCTATTATACACTCGCGGGAAAGAACATCTTAATGCTCTGGCCCATACATTTTTTCATACATTTGTTTAAACGTTGGATAGCGACGATCCACCGAATAAATAGAGATTACTTCATGGTTGGTGAGTGCGTACGATTTTTATTCACGAGTTGTGAAGAATCGAAAACGAACGAGTGAGCGCAGCGAACGAGTGAGTTTGCGATTCTTCACAACGAGTGAATAAAAATCGTACAAGCGAACCAACCATGAGGTAATTTGTTTATTATATATGTACTGAGATATTACAAAATAATGTTAACAACT